TTCCTCAGCTTGATTGTGCTGTCCTAGGGTCCTCAGAGAGCCTGCTCTCTGTCCTTCCAAGCTTTGCCTTATCTTGATGGCCATGGTCAATTGGAATTGAAGCTGTACTTCTTGCCTTGGCACTAAATGTATCCTGTAACATGGATGCTTTGGGATTTGAATTTGGATGGTTCAATTTCCCCTTTCTCTTCCCCATTTACTGTTTTTTGGGTTCTTATTACTCTTATTTTTTTAGCTTGTAAGCTATTTGAAGAGATACTTGCAGATCGTAAAGAGCTGAACAGCAAAAACAACAGGGTTAACATATCCTTTTAGAATCTAGTGTAATGTAAAATAGAGGTATTAAATCTTGGATATCTGGGAGGAGACATCTGCTGATTGAGCATTGTTGGGCTCCTTGCATTAGTGACTCCCATTGTGCGGTTAATTTGTGAAATTTATACTTAGGCCTGCAGGATTTTAACAGATTGAATCATTTCAAACAAATAATCATTGGCTATTATAGTACCAGTGAAATAATAGAATTTGACCAGTAGTGATTATAGCTTTTCTTCCTCTTCTAGGATACCAATGAATGTTTCTTAAACATTAAAATATTATATAATGGAATTTTTAAAGCACTGTAGGTAATATCCTAATGTTTGTATAATTGTGTGCAACTGTATTCTTGTTAGGTAAGATTCATGCTAATCTAAATAGAAGTTAAAACTGTAGATATAACTTTACAATTTTATGTCAAAATTTGGTTCCATGTCCCTTTGACATAGCAATAATTTTAAAATGAATTAAAAACAGCATCAGCACATTCTTTTTACTTAGATAGTTCTTGTCTGGATAAGAACATTGTCTTTAAGGTTTCTTCAAGAAGAACATGAAAGATGGGTCTCCATTAGCAACTCTTAATTGTTTTAATTTATAAAGTAGACATGACAATGTCTAGTATATAGTTAAGAGCTTTAGATTTGGTCTGTTATTTTATTTGGAACATTTTCTTAGTTTTAGGTCTAAATGGCTACTGCAGGTTTTCTGTACTTAATTGTGTTCAGGTTTTCCATTACATTTGTGTTCCTGCCTAGAGGTGAAAGACTTTTTAAGATTTTATTTTAACCCCACTGTTTGAGTCATCTGGCTAAATGAACTTTCACTTTGTTTTATATGGAAATTAGCATATAATGTTAAATAAAAGGGTTTTATACTAATCATAAACTTAAAACTGTTAATGAAAGTTAATGTGTGATCTGTTAATGTTGTCAGTAGGAAAACAGTAAGTCTATACAAGTCCAGACCAAAAGTTTAGTGTCACAGATTTTTAGACATTTTATGGACCCTACTCTAGGAAAAAGATTCCTCCCCTCCCACAAGTTTTTGTTTCTCATTTAAACACATTTTTAGTTGCTTCTAATTCCATATTTCTCCCTTTGCTCTCAGTACCATCTTATTGCTGTTTCTCTTACCCTCATCAACTCAGTTATTATTTTCATCCTATCAGTTGCTTTCTCCTGTTTCTATTGTTGACCTTATTGATTGTGTTCAGGCTTTAAATAATAATTAGTGACAACTAAGAGTAAAACAGTTTGGAAGTAGATTATATCCTTTAAGCCAGGCCTTTTCTTTTCACTTTTTAAAATACCCCCCTTTCCCCCAGGCCTTCACCATACTATTGTCTGTGTCTATGGGCTACCTTCTTTTCACATTTACCTAGGGGGTTTTTTTGGTTCTATTTCTGTTTGGTTTTTTCTTCTAATATTCCAAAGGACTAAGTGCTGTCTCGTTGATAATCTACCTGTTACAGGAGTAGAATTTTATTCCCAATCTCAGTGGCATTTACTAGATTTGGGAATGAAAATGATAGTAGTCATAGAATTTGCTAATATTGACTTTCACTTAATCTAGTACAGTACAGTAGAAGAAAGTCTTAGCAGTATTCTGTTGTAAAAGACTGATACAGTTTTTAGGATTTTTGAAAAGGGATATAGAACCATTTGTCGTGTGGATTGTCATGAAGGTAACTACATATTTTACTCTCAAGTGACTTGTTGCAAATTCATTTTTTTTCCTGGTCAAGTATGAAAGCTGCATGATTAAAACTCAAATGTGCAACTGATCATGTAAGTGAAACTTTGACTTTTTCTTTAATGGACTGCAGACTATTGGTGACACAGTGTAAGATGTTACATGTACTTGGAATAAAATGTCACTTGCTAATTTGATAAGAGATGGCTAGATTTAAGTAGCTTATGATTAAGTGGACATAGGTACTTTATTGATATATGGAAGGCCCTATATCCAACTGGTATGGAAGCAACTTAAGTCACACAAATGTCTAGCTTGAGCTTACAATGTGTGTTGGGGTATTAAATTGAGCCTGGAGAAATTTCTTGAGTTATCAACTTCAAAACTGCTTATACCTCTGAACTGAGATAAATTGAGGATTAAGCTTGAGGCTTGTAGTTAGCTGTTTGCTACTTGTGTTGCTGAGATCTTGGTTAAGTTAAATTGGACCATTCACTACATAACTTACTCATGTGTCACATGTATTAGAGCATTTGAGGGCACATTGAGCCTTAGATGACATAGATACATCCTGTTAGATGTAAAAAGCAGTGCAGGCAAATCTTCAGCTCTTTAACTGACAATATCAAGTTGTTGGCAAAGATGTGGAGCAGCTGGAACTTTCATTGCTGGTGGGAATGCAAACTGGTATAAGTACTCTGGAAAATGCTTTAGCAGATTCTTATAAAGTAAAGCCATGCACTTACCATATAATCAGGCCATCCAGTCCCACTATTAGGTATTTGCCCAAGAGAAATGAAAATTTGTCGTTTGATAGATTTGCACATGAATATTCATAATAGCCTTATTGATAATAGCACCACATTATTAACAGTCCAAATGTCCATTAAAAGTTCAATGGATAAGTTATGGTACACAAACACACACAATGGAATTCTCATTAATAAAAAGGAATTACATACTGTGTGAATCAAGTATTTTACTGAGTGAAAGAAGTCAGACACAAAAATCTACACTTTATGATTCCACTTATATGACATTTTAGAAAAGGCAAAACTATAGTGACAGTAGATGAGTAAAGGTGGCAGTGGTGAAGGTGGTGAATAGGAGCATGAGAGAACTTTGGGGGGTAATAAAGTTCTTTATTATGATTGTGGTGGTTCCAAGACTGTATGTATGCACTTTTCAGAACTCATCGAATTATACATTTAAATTGGTGAATTAATTTGTAAATTATATCTTAAAAATTTCTTAACTTGTTTGATGCTGCTTAAGATGATATGGAGGTTAATAAAGCTAACATTTTAAAAGTTTGACCATATCTTTTTTTTTTCTTTTTTTTTTATATATATCTATTGATTTCAGGGAGAGGAAAGGAGAGGGAGAGAGAGAGAGATAGAAACATCAATGATGAGAGAGTCATTGATCGAGCCCACAACCCGGGCATGTGCCCTCACCGGGAATCGAACCCTGATCGCCTGGATCCTAGGTCGATGCTCAACCACTGAGCCACGCCCGGCCGGGCCATATCTTTTTTTTTTTAATACTCACCCAAGGATATGTTTATTGATTTTAGAGAGAGCAAGGGAGGGAGGGGACAGAGAAACATTAATGTGAGAGAGCAACATCAGTTGGTTGCCTCCTGTAAGAGCCCCAACTGGGAATCAAACTTGCAACCTTTTTGGTGTATAGGACTACACTCTAACCAACTGAACCACCCAGCCAGGGCAAGTTTGACCATATCTTAATCCTAGGCTAGATCTTTTTTGAGACTATCAAACAAACAAATTGTTTGTTAGAACTGTTCTTTTTGTACATCTTAGATGTGCTTTGATTGATTTTGTGAGGCAAAAGGAAGATTAAAGTAATCTGAGAACAGCTGTGTGGTGATCAAAGACTAAGTAGTACAGAAGATGTTGCTGGTCAAGTTACTCTGTGCCTAGTACATTTGAAATCTCTGGTGAATAAACTAGGATGCTTTGAATGGCACTTTTGATCAGGATGATGTTAGTTTTCAGCAGAAAGTGATAAATGAATGAGACCAGACCATCATAACTGAAACCTTTTACAGTATTGCTACTGAAAGAGTTCTTTTATTTAAAAAAATAAGGATACATGAGCTTGTCCTGGATGGTATAGGGCGCTGCACCAGGTTTATTGGACACCTCTGTGAATCTTAGGAAACTCATTTCTGTCAAGGTGCTTAACTGTTCAAATAGCCATTTTATTTCACACTGGTAACTTTTTTAAATTATAAACTATTCTAAATAAATGAATAAAGACTGAAAATAACTGTTTGATATAAACAAATGCTAACATTCTGAAAAATATTAAATATAGCTAAAGCATCCCTCACATAGCTACCCTAAAGGTTAATTATTCCAAAGTGTGATTTTATTATACTTACACTGCACATGCATGTATATGTAAACAGGTTTGTTTACACACACAAAATTTCCATAAATGGAACCTTCACTGAGTATATCTTTTCCAATTTGTTTTCTTCCCCCTCTTTTCATTTAAAATAATGAAATGGCATAATCTAAAATGTTCAAGGGACTGATTGATGTCTGCTTAGTCTATCTCTCAAAAGCCTTAGAAGTTCTTACTGGGGAAACAGTATAAAGTGAGAAAAGATAATTAAGTCACCAGTATGAAATATTTTAAAAAATGGATTGTTTTCATCTTACAAAAATCTTTAGCCTTCAGCTGAGTTTTTAGTTAATGTTTAAATTAATGCATCTTTGTATAATTGATTGTTAAAGTTACACTCCATTATATTTATGAATCATATTATTGCCTCTTAGTTACCACAACTTTTCTTTTTTGTTTAATTTTATTTTGGATTGGGATTATTAACTTCTTGGGATGTACAAGTAAGTCATCACTTCACATCATTGACATATAACAAAACCAGTTTTACCATAGGCTAATTAATATAAACAAGAGTTAAATTCCTTTGGCATCCCATCAGTGTTATTTAAAATAACCGACATTGAATGAAATGATGTTATTCAAGGACTTGTTGTAGTTTCAGATGGATAGCCTGTTAATTTAGGACTGTGATGGTTGTGAGAAAGTCTGTTTGGAGGGGGCATGGAAACCTCAGGGAAGGATTTTTTCTGGAGAGGCTAAATGGAACTGTTCTGAATTAGAAATTGTTCTAAAATGAATCATACTGGCCTAAGGGATATGCTTGATATAATGTTACCCGTTTCCATGGTTGTGATTGAAGATAATGGCACTGTGTACAGTGGTTCTTACTGAGTACCTATAATATACCAATCACTTTACATGGGTTTTTGCCCCCAATATTCGGAACAAAACTTTGCTGTTAATGCTCTAATTGTCATAGGTTCTGTTGAGCTTCATACTAATGGCTGTGACTAATGTAGGATAATTTTTTAGTTCTCATGTATTCTGTCATTTTGCTAACCTGTCACTTCTCACTTTCAATTTTAATTTTGCTTTAGATTGTAATTATTAACTTCTTGGGATGTACAGTAAGTTTTTAACTTCACATCATTGACAGGTTCTTTCACATTAAGTAAAATGATGTATAATAGAACCAGTTTTACCATAGGCTAATTGATATAAACAACCCTTCTTAAAAAACTTGGAAGTTCTTGCCAAATTTTAACTTTTTTCTTTTAGAACAAATTCTGTACAACATAAAACAAGAGTATAAACGCATGCAGAAGAGAAGACATTTAGAAACTAGTTTCCAACAGACGGATCCATGTTGTACTTCTGATGCACAGCCACATGCATTTCTCCTCAGTGGACCAGCTTCACCAGGTAATAATAAACTAAGTGAAAGGAAACATTATTTAGTGTGGGAAAAAGTAATCCTTTAGTACACTTAAGCTCCTATTTCTCCCCTTGATTAAAAACAAAAAACAAAACATTTACTCAAGTATTGCATGATCTTTTAAAAATATGGTACAAAATAAGTGCTATGATTTGCAGCCTCCATTAAAAAATGATAATAATAATATACGATGTGCTTCCCTGTTAGGTATATATGTACATGCCATTTTATAGATTTCCCATAATTATTTAACCATTAATGGAACAGGCTTAGAATTTTTGCTATTTACAAAAATGTCTCTATACATATACCCTCATGATTCACTTGTCCTGTTAGGATAGATTGCTAAACGTGTATTATTTTGATCCAGTGTTTTTATACCTACCTTTTGTTGGAGGGAGTAGTTTGCAAATACACTTTTTAAATGGCAGGAAAATGAAGGCTATTGAAGTGAAGGGGAAATAAGCTTCTTACTGAAAAAGCCATCAGAAGTGGCTCTTAGCTTAAGTGAAGTTCTCAGCAAAATAGTTTTTCTTGTGACAGTATTTGCCTACCTTCTTTCCCTTCCCTCCCAGCAGGATTAGGAAAACCTGGTAGAATTTTAAAATAAAATAAAAAGCACTTAAAGGCTATAAAACAGTGAAGTAAAATTAGATTAGGAAACATAACCTTGTTCAAAACTAAATTCTACAGCATTCCTGCCAATTTGGGAGGGCAGGTATAAATGGGTGAAATGTAGTAAGGGGAGGTATGAGTGTAGAGACTAGACTATATCTGCAGGAAGTGAAGATCATCATCATTCATTAGTCTGTTTATTTTGTAGGTCAATTAACAGGCAGATTGAACTAACAAAGCTGGGAATTTGAAAGATAGCCTTAGTGTAGTTATGCACTACTTTAGATGGTATAAATAAAGTAAAACTCTGGGATACTTTATTCTTGTGATAGACACTGCTCTAAGAGGCAGTTAATTAACTGGTACCAACCATGCAGGTTATAAGGAACAAGTGGAAAAAAAGGAATTGGGGCTATACCATGGACAGACACACAGAGCAGGAAGAACTATTGATAGCAAATCCATGTATTTCTATGTGCATAAAATACTTGCATCAGTGTTAAAATGGATGACTCTCAATCCTGAGTTCTCAAAAAGATTAATTTCAGATGTTCTTTATAAGAAATAAGGAATGTTGATTTTGGAAAATCAAATTGCCTTAAGTAGTACTTGAGGAATACATTCTAAAGAAATCTTTTTTTTTTTTTTTTTAATCCTCACCTGAGGATATATTTTTATTGATTTTTATTAGAGAAAAACATCGATTGATTGCCTCCCATACACACCCCAACTGGGGGTTGAACCCACAGCCTAGGTATATGCCCTGACTGGGAATTGAACCCGCAGCCTTTTGGTGTACAGGATGATACTCCAACCAACTGAGCCATGCGGCCAGGGCTGAAGAAATCTTTTATACCAAGTATCATCTAATTATGCCAAGTAGCTTTTAGATTAATAATCTTTAAGGACTCTGAACCATTAAATTTAATCTTGAATATTAGGAATATAGTCTCAGTATTTATTTTTACGTAGTGGTCTCCTAACTAATATCACTAATTAAAAAACAAAAACTTTATTAAGTTCTATATTTTGTAGTTTCTCCACTCATCTTCATAGTTATTCTCTGATATTTATTGCATGGATCTTGCTGTTTTTTCAGTCACAGCAAAATATTCAAATGAGACCTCTTCAGTTGGAAGATGCTTTCTGTGATGGCTCTAAATCAGGTGTGTTTATTTTGTTCTTCATGTTACATATAGGGACTTCATCTGCAACATCCTCACCATTAAAAAAAGAACAGCCCTTATTCACTCTACGACAGGTTGGGATGATCTGTGAACGTTTGTTGAAAGAACGTGAAGAGAAAGTTCGTGAAGAGTATGAAGAAATACTGAACACAAAACTTGCAGGTATGAGTTTGTTTAGTCTCCCAGAAACTCACCGTAAGAAATGCATTATTTTCTACATATATTTCATGTCAATTAAATTACCCTTCTTATACGCTGGTACAATATGTTTTCTAAGAACCAGAGAATTTCGGTTCAAGAAAGAAAATGAATTTCTTTATAGCTCATGGCTCTCCTTAGGTGATCTCAAGAAATAGTATTTGTTAGCCATGTAGATCAGCACCAGTATTAGTGAACTAGTTTTTTCTTTCAATGTAAATTTGATTGGATTTTGGACTTGATATCTTTAATGGTAACTTTGCCATCAACTTTGTCTTGAAATAATCTAACTGGCACTGTACATCATTTTAGAGGATCAAGCTGCTACAGTCTTAATTATCAAGAAAAAAAATTAGTAAAATTTGATAATGTAAGTGCAGTAAATAAAATTTGTTACATGTGGTAACAATCAAAATCCCTCCACCCTGATTATGCCACAGATTTTACAAGATAACAATATTATAAGCTTTTTGATTAAATGGTTAAATCAAGGCTAATATAGGCAAGAGAATTTACTTAGTTACATGAGACATCTTTTTCTGTAACACCTGATTAGGTTACAAGTGGATGTTTCTTTGGATATATCATATTTTTTAAAGCTCTTTTTTACTTTCTCTCATTGCAGTAAATTTGCCATTTATAGGCCACTGATAATAAACTTTCAGAGTAGAAAGACATCTTTTTATTTCAAGCCCTTTATTTTTAATAGGTTAAGAAATATGCCCTACCCAGCCTATACATGAGGTCATGTGCTTTAGACTAAAATGTAGGTTCCCATATGATATGTTATCATTATTACTGAGGTTATGTGTCTGATTAAGTGCCAACTTAGAATTGTTTCACTATACATATTGGATTTTTCAGAGTTTATCTGGCTCTCATTTATTACAGAGGGCATTTTGCAAGTCATGTAATTTACATATACCTTTATTTGTAGAACAATATGATGCATTTGTGAAGTTTACCCATGATCAAATAATGCGACGATATGGAGAACAGCCTGCTAGTTGTAAGTATTGTATATATGAACTGAAAACAAGACAGTCTTTTAAGGAGAAGACATTTATTATAATTATCTTCATACCCAAGAAGAGAATTAAACAGAAAATCATGGAAAAACTCTGCAGGAAATAGGCAGGAAATTTTACTAAGGCTTATTTTTGGATAATTAAATATGGGCAGTGATTTTCAACTGGTATGCCACAAGAATATTTAAAACATGCAATACCTATTTAGTCAGGGGCACTGACTTCTTTTTCCCTTAGATTGTCAAAAAAAATTATAGCAGACAACACAACAGCTGTCCAGTGTGAATGAATCAAAATTATGTATTTGTGCGTGTGTGTGTGTCTGATCGGCAAAAAATTTATCTACCACAGAATTTTAGTAATTAGTTTATATGTGCCATGAGATGAAAAAGGTTGAAAATCGCTGACCTAGGGCAATATTGGGGATAAAGATGTGGTATGTGTTAGAATTTTGCATTGGACTTTGCACTAATTTTCATTTTCTCCCCCTTTAGATGTTTCATGAATCACATTTTCCGCGTTTGTGGGCTGCCTTGTCCCTTGTTGAATTGTTGCAAGAGGTCCCAATTATGACATGCAGCAATGCCAATACCCCCCTGTGAATACAGGTTATTTCAAGCTTTCCTCAGTGGCAACCACTCTTAGGCAGCAACTGGTTTTGGAAATTACCCTGATGTCAGTACCACCTGGATATGGACCTTTGCTACCTGTATTAATTCCATTGGTCTCATTTGCTGTATCATTACAATTTGGCTTCTTATATTAATATGTTTGAAAAGGATTAAAGCTGGTATTCTAAGAACATGCCCTTCACTGGTTGTGTAAATAAAACTGTAGAATGATACTTCAGATGAAGTTAGTGTGATTTTAATTGTGCACTACAACCAAGCTGTAAACAGTTATTAATTTAGAATGTAATCCCAGGACATTATTAAGCAAATGCTTCCTGTGAAATAGTGAAGGAGAAGGGCATTTCTTTTTGGGGTTTCAAAATGGGTTTATATGATTTTTCTTTCTTTTTTTTCTTTTTTTTTTTGGTAGCTTTTATTTATTCTATCAGTCTTTTTAACAAATGTTTATTGCTGCATTCCCCCCCCCCCC